TTTTAATTCATTGTTAAAATTTAACTTTCAATGTACTGAATGAAAAACAATATTAGTACAGATATTGACTTATATAGATTTGGATTATGAAAAAGAATTAATAAGAATATAATAATAATGTTGTTATGGGAGATCGAGTCTGGTTGTCATTCGAAATTGATTATCAAAAAGCTAATAATTCAATTACCATATGATAGAGCATTTTGTTCTTTTGACTTTAGATTAATGATATTATATTAGGTCTACTTGTTGTAAAGTATAAATAACTATTTAGTTTCAACTCATTCCCGTTAGTCACCATGTATATCTGCAGAATTATTCATGAAATAATGTTTTCCTGTTAACTATGGGTAATTTCCATTTCATGAATAATGCATTTGTTATCTTTGTTGTTCATCAAATGTATACAACGATAAATGAAACATCATGAGCATTGAAACAAAATGCGTCATCATCAGGTACTTATTACAAAGCAATATAACATACAGAAATTCGAATTAACCCACTGCAATAACTTCTTACACTACTCAAAACTACATTGACAGACAAGAGAAGATGTTTTTTTGTCATGACACACATCACTACATTCTACTTTACTATCAGGATATAATATGCACGACATAAAAGAATATAGCATATTCAATCGACCTACATTGATTAGTATAATTATCGAACTGCTAGAGTGTGCTGAGGTTAACATTAATCAAAATTCTAATAATGTTGCGTCTGTCTAAACGCGATCTAATAAATCCATTTGAAAACTATTAAACAAATTTTTATAGTATGATACAATATATTATAATATAATCCCATTGTAATACAATATGGTACCAAAAGTTCTAATCGTAAAATCGTGAATTTGTAATAACAACCAAAAATTCTGTTTAGTTTAACCAAAATGCATTTAACTATAATATATAGGGTGACACGTCAAACCATTTTTCTCACACATTAGAGAGAATAGAAGGTCTGTTATGGATTATATACCTGTATTAAAATCACCACAAGGTCAAAAATTGTGTTGTTCAACCGAAAATAATGTTTTCATTTACTTAATGAAAATGGTTGTGTTAAATTGGAAACAATTAATGCAAAAGAAAATATAAAATAACAATATATAGAATAACAATGAAAAATATATAAACGCAATTAAATGAGAAATGATTTAAATATTATATAGCGTTATTTAGACGTTTGTGTAATTTGCGAAAGATTGAATACTATATGATTGTTTTATTATTCTATTGTATACATTCTATTACAATCTTATACTTTTATTCAATATATATAGGACATACTAGACAAACGGAATTATAACCTGTGTGAAAAATTATAACCCCATTCCAAATTTTACCTTTCTTTGCTCTATTTGCAATATACGTTGTAAAATTTAATCGAAATAGATAATTTAACAAACGGCAATTTTAAACTATCATTTATGACAGCTTGGACACTCACATAAATTCTATCAAATGGATACGTAAAAAATTAAGACCTTATCATAAAACATCAATTGAGTTACATTTTCAAATATCAAAGAAACAATTATCAATTCCTTAAATTATTAATATTTTATTATTTTTAACTTCAATGTGTATCAAAGTCAACTCTTTCTTTTAGTTTCAAAATAAACAGCATTTATTGTTGTATGCACGTAGTAAATAATAAACTAAATAGTAAATTATGAAAACTAAATTTGAATTGAAATTAATATATCTTCTTGAGCTAAATTATTTAGCTAGCTTAGTTCTATTGTTTTAGTTAAGTTAACGGCACATTGAGAAAAATACAGATTCTTCTTCTAACATAACTGTTTATTAGCATATTGATATTAACATTACCACAAAGATTCTTAATTTAATTGAATTTATTAATTATTTGGTAATATATACGAAATAGTAACTATATTATGTACTTTTTTTAATTCAGTGTATTGTCCTGCCTATCCTTTATATAATGAACTCACATTTATGTATTTTAATTGTTACTTTCATCAAAGAGAACACACAAGATATATAATACTTGATGCATCTCGTGATACAAAAATTTGAATTTTTCATTTACAGTTTACTTGTCATATTTTCAAGTAAATGCCGAAGTGTCATCTAACTTAATAAATCGATCAAAAGAAAATATTACTATAACTACGTAGAGAGAGAGAGAGAGAGAGAGAGAGAGGAGCTGTAGTAATATATAGCACAATATTACAAAGTCATATAAAATAGATTTGCTGAATAGAGATGCAACAAATAGTATATTTGACACATAACCGACTACTGTATACCGAAAAAATTATGTTTTCATAAACATAATACGACAGACGCACAACACATCTGATCACGCAAATGCATCACCGTGCATCGGGTGTATGTGTAACAGATCCGCAGGATTGACGAAAAATGACATGTTTTTTAAATGAACAAAATAACTTGTTTTTTAATGCTTCACACATCCTTTATACAGTATTATAAAAAAGCAACATTATCATGTTATAAACATGTTTAAAACTCGTTAAAGCATCGATTGAGCATGCTTCGAACGGTTTAAACCGTTGATTTTATCAACCCTGTCGTTTCGCACATTTACAGTTATGATATTCTGGATAGCTTAGATCGCACGACATTATAAGTATTCGTTTTTAACAAAGTTATTATTTTCATAACTGTTTAAAGGCTGCGACATACATCTATAGTTTCGACAAATCAAAGGTATCGTCTATATTTTATACCTACTTTGATTCTTTACTTTAATTTTCCTTCATTTTTAATATTTTCATGATTAAAGGTGTTTGATTGAATAGTAAAGATGTACAGATAAAGAAAAACGCCGAATAACAACCCATCATTTGCAATTTTGTTGCAACTCTAGCATAAAAAATATTTTCTGTAGAACTACAAAAGTTTACCATTGCATATACTCGGCTATAATTTATGAATTGCCAAAACGTAATAGTAAATGATTAATACATGAAATATAACAGAAGAAAAATTATGTAAATTATGATTTTGTAAAGAGGTCAAAGTTAATTTCGCAATATTCAGAAAAGAAAAAATTATGAATCCTTTCTGTTACATCTCTATTGATAGAGCTATTCATAATATGTTCAATTGATCTTGAAATATTTCATTCGGATTTGTATTCATAAATAATGTGATTTTTAAAAATGGAAAATATATATATAACAGAGTTATTAATACTTATTATTAAGTTATTAATACTATATGTGTATTGAAAAAGGTGAGGTTTAATTTGTGTTTAACTTTATATGATTATATATTGTGAATAAATGAAATAATTCAAATAATTACTCGTTAAAAATCTGCTTCTTTTGTTTTCATACAAATTATTAGACAAGGCTGCTAAATCTTCTTGAGGCTCTTTTGTTGTCGTGGCCCTGCTCGTATCGTTGTTCATGTCATCAGTATGACTTGCAAGGATTTCTCTATATTTATAATATATATAGTATGATTCTATACATATATTTCGATAAATGATTTGGTAAACACACATGTACATTTTATTTAAATAATTTTATTACTATAAATTTGCCATTCTGCAATATTTTATCCCATTTCTAAACAAACTTTGTAAGTGTACTTACTTCATATTGTTTATTCGTAAGTGATAACATAAACATGCATAAGTATAAATGTATGTTGTTACATATATTGCATTTTGCCCATGTTTTGTCTTCTTTTGTGAAATAATCCCACGCACAACTGCATTTAGGATCTTGCATTTCTTTCTGTGTTAATTTGTCCCAATACCAATATTGCTCTTTCAAGTGCTGTTGTAAATTACGCATATAGTTGTAACTAATTACTTGCTCACAATGATTGCATTTTGCTTGAATTGTTGTTAATTTTGTGTAATGTCTACTTATCCATCATCGAACTGGAACCCATTTGTCATCGCCTGTTACTTTATCTGGTATTATATAACAGAAGAAACTAATCAGTCAGCGCTTAGTGATTCTTTAATATGATTGATTCTTGCCTTTAACTCTTTGCTGGATCTAAGTGTAGGAATCAATCATATTAAAGAATCACTAAGCGCTAACTGATTTATTTTCCCTACTGAACACAGCCACTGTGGTTCCTATACTTAAATCTAGCAAAAAATTAAAGGAAAGAGCCAATCACATGAAAGGATCATATTAAAGAATCATTCAACGCTCATTGACTTGTTTTGTGTGTTGAAGATGCCCCTACCATCTTACAAGAGCGGCCAGGATCAATCAGAAGATAAACAACAACATAAACAAAATATAAAATATTGCAACTTATTTAAAAAATTTTTATTTCACATGTATATTTTTATTTATATTTTACAAAGCTCGTAAACTGTTAAACAAAATCGAGAAGTTAGCGTGATCGCTAATCACGGTAAACACCAATACGCTATATTATAAAAATGACTTAAAAAAAAAACAAAAAATTTATTAACATTCTCGAATCATTCGACACACTTGGCACATCATTAATCAATTCGTTACGCAGATAACAACACTGTTGCAGGCATGATTGATTTCTCTCAACGAGTTTAAATTTTGTTTTCCTTTGTTTTCGCAAATTCTCTCAGCTAATCTCAGCAATTGTTCAGCAAACCTAAAAGCTTACCTTTGCAAGATCACAATATTTCTCACATTACCCGAAAGGAATCTCTCGCGCAAATTATTTATTAGAATGCGCGAGATAGTTTGAACGATTAAACGCAATCAGGTATATTTATCACACGGAGTATTATAGTACGGTCAGGATTTGCTTCCAAATAACTCTAGACTATACCCAATGAGAAATGACAATAGAATCGACGTCAAATCGACGTCGATTCCATTGTTTTTTTTCACTGGGTAGTTCACTTTATGTAAATTATAGCAAAAGTGCACTAGAGTTATCTGGGCGTAATTCCCGAACGCACACTTAATAGCGCAATATAAATGACACATTGAGAAAATGAATTGTCGGAGTATTTCATTAGAATATTCAATTATAAAATATATGGCGAGTTTGTACGCAGCAACAAACATACTGACGACTTCCATCCATTTCTCGTTGAGTTGCATTATCTCTTTGAGGAAAACAGACGGAATTAGTTCCTGAAACAGCCAGCTTCGCTCGCCTTAATTATAAATGTTTTCATCAAATTCTGGTCTAGCTTGGCGAAATTTTCCGTGCGCGTCACAGCCATCATGTGACTAACAGCGAACTGGACGCAAAATTCTTCTAGTTCCTAAATTGCCAATATCATTCAATTATTGCACGTACGTAGATACATAATATACGTAATGAAATGTTAATAAACGTTAATAGCGACTACCTCTATGTCATACTTCACTGCAAAGCTATAAAAATAGGCAACGTTCGATATAGTAATTCTTTGCTTTATTCTACGAATGCAATGTTTCTTGAGGTTGTTCTCGCAATAAGCGATGGCCAAATCAAAAAGTTCTGTTAACAAAAAACGTTGCTTCAATTATTTGGCGCATTCAGCGAATTCAATAGTTGAGTGAGCGTTCGCTGCTATTGGTCTATTCTTCCAGATCTGAAAGTTTGATTGGATAATCTAGAAAAATATATCATTATCAGCGAGCACTCACTCAAATGTTCAGTCCGCTGAATGCGCCCAATGAGTATTTAGACTGATAATCATAGTATACTCGACATACCTGAGATCTTCTCAAAAGATAAACTGATTATATTGGTGTATAAGAACTTCAGGTATTCTTCGTACACCACGTAAGAAAATTCATTAATCTTAATGACACTAACGGGAGAAAATGACGTCGACATGAGCAAAGACTCGAAGAACAACAGAAATAACATTAACATAAATAATACTGATTTTTATTAAACAATTACCTTTGGTTGTTCTCTGCCCAATCATGCTCAAACATTTTTCTGAAGTATAAAGAGCGAATTTTCAAGATAGCTTTGTGTACATGGATACATTTGTCCTCCACCTGTATTTTAAGGTCGCTCGTTGACTATGTCACAAACAAAAGAAAGAGTCATTAGAGATAAATTTGTACCGTATTAGCTTGGTACGTAAAATAATTGTCACATCCCAGACAGCACAGAATATTTATGAAAATATTTATTAATATTCATTTTTTTGAAATGTTATATAGATATTTCATACGTATTTTATATAAAGCTTTATTCGAAATATTATTAAAATATAGACCAAATATTTTATGTAATATATATGATAAATAT